TTTTAGGGTACATTTCAGAGGCAATGTATTTTTGTGGTTGTAATGGCCTATTGAAATGCCGTGGTTTTAATGATAAAAAAAGCACCTCGACTTTACAGTAATTTTGACTTAAATAGATTTCTCTGAATTTATGAAATGTCACTTATACCTTTCTGGTTTTCACCTATTCATATGCTCATTTGTAGTACTATTCGTTGAGCATACAACTGGTCAACTTTCCTGGTTGACCTCTGATCCCAGGAACACCGAATTTCCGTGGAATTTTCGCCTATAGTATTTGGACTGAGAGATAATTTTCCCCATTTATTCTTTGTATAAATGCCAGTTATTCCGATCAGTAGTTACAACTCGTTTTGAACATGGCATTTTTCTTTACTTCTAGGCTGTCCGGTGTACTAAGCCTACGTGTACATGGCATTTTTCTGCAAGCCGATCTACTTCCGCAAAAGTTCAAATGCATTGGAGGTTTCAACGAGCACTCAAACTTCACCTGTACCTTTAAGTTTTAAAACATTTTTTGGATTAGCTGTGGGTAGCTTGGGGTGAATGAAATAGCACTTATGGTTGAACCTCTGTCAGCAACCGCCTAACATTCTGGTGTAATACAAATCCTGTACGTACTCGTGTTTCGTGTGCAGCAAATGTCTGCTCACGAAATGTGGTGCAACTCGGTGAGATAGAAATAACCTCGAGGTGGCTTTTGAGAGGTCCTCTGGCACTGCAGAAAGATCATAACATTACGGCATGTGCTAGAATGACGAAATCCATGTGCACCAACCTTGGCAAATGTTGCGCTCTGCTATGTTCCGTAGCAATATAGTAGTTTTCGAGACACTATGAGTGTTCGAAGGATAGATGAAGCACCGAAAAAAGTGTTGAAATAGAGACTACGTTCCTCCGCTCGCAATAGCTTGGTCAGCAATTTTTTAAATTTTTTTTAAGAAAATAATTTATTTTGAAAGTTGTCTAGCAAAAACAGCCCGCGTATCAGACATATCATTTCTTCCTGAACACTGATAGTATCCCTACTCTCAGCATAAATCTGAAAAACATCTCCAGTTCAGATGTAAACAAAGTCGCTTCACTGAATCCCTCTGCGTTAGTCCATAGAATGACTATCGGCTTATTGCATAAAAGTTGGAATGAAGATTAAAAGTTGTCCTTGCCCTTGTTTGAAGATGTGGAAGCTGATGACACAGGTCATTCGGTTTCCAAGCCTGTTGTTTGTTATACGACCTTTGTCTTGTGAAAATAGTGGGCGAGCCTTGTCTGTCCTATTTATGTTTTCCATACTCGCTCCGATACACCCCACTTCCGAGATAAGCTGC